AATGTGGAATTTCCACAAAAAATTAAAAATGGAACTTAGGACCCAGCAATTCTACTGCTGGGAATGTACGCTAAGAATCCTGAAACACCAATTCAAAATAATCTATGCACCTCAATGTTCATAACAGCACTATTTACAGCAGCCAAGTGTTGAAAACAGCCCAAGTGTTCATCAGTAGATGAGTGGATTAAAAACTGGTGCATTGACACAATGGAATACTATGCAGCAGAAAGAAAGAAGGAAGTCCTCCTACCTTTTGAAACAGCATGGATGGAGCTGCAGACTATCCTGTTAAGTGAAATAAGCCAGTTGGCGAAAGACAAATACCATATGACCTCACTTATAACTGGAATCTAATGAAAAAATAAACTAATGAGAAAAATAGAACCAGAAACATGAAAATATGGAACAGACTGATAGCTGTGGGAGGGGAAGCGGGAAGGTGAGATGGTGGAAGGGAGGGGAAGGGATTAGTCCACGAACATGAATGAATGACTCATGGACATGTACAATGCAGGAGGGATTGACTTTGGGTGAGGGGGGGTGGGTTGGATGGAGGGGGACAAAAGGGGAAAAAATCAGGACAACTGTAATAGAATAAACAATAAAAAATAATAGAGAAAAATGCAAATAATGTGTAAGATTCAGAGTGTATATCAAATAGGGTAATAAAACTAGTGGTATCCCATTGTTTCTGTTGTTGGAAAGTCTATTAGAAAAATATGACCACCTATTTTGTCTTTTTAATAATATAGTTGTTCCTTATTACAATCATCTCATTTTTATGGATCTAAACATTTCCTTGGCCAAAATGGTTATGCATTGCATTATATCTATATATCCTAATATAATGCAATATTGGTATATTATTTGTAAGCTTTAAAGGGCCTTTTATCAATGGTTACATTTTATGGAAGGGAGTCAAAGGGTATAGAGTTATAATTTTGTGCTTGCTCATGACACAGATACTAATTTAAACAATAATATATTTTAAAAACTGACAAAAATTGTATTCTATTTGAAGTTATGTAATATGAAGCTTAAATATCATATAGTTTAGCAGGCATAATTTTTTCTGAAGAAATGTGCTCAGTGCTATAAACAGTTTTTCCCCCCTGCCTGCTTTTCTGTATAAAGCCCCCAAATATTAAATTTGTACCCTCAAAATCATCTAGTTATTTTAGAAAGGTTATAATGATTGTATATGTACAGACTGACTTCCTCATAACTAGTTCTGTGTTTTAGGATATGAGCCACATCCAGATGCTAGAATTGAAGTAGGCTTTCCTGAGCAGCTGTTTCTACCTGGGCAAAACTGAAAGTTAAAAAAAAAAAATGCTCAGATAAAATACTTTATTTTACGGGTAATAAGCTATGTGATGATAGTAGGAATGACAGTTAATGAAACTTCATCAATTTATGTTTAATTTCGCTGAAAATTTGAAACTTTGTGGCTCCCTAAGGAACTCAACAGAATATCGGAGTATGATACACATCTAGGAAAAATTTGGGTCTGCGAAGAGAAACCTTAAAACCAGCTATTCTTCTTTTAAACCCCCTGTCCATATATATTTATATACATATATAATTATGTCTATATTTTCTTTGTATCCCTTATTCCTTTATATATTTTCCTGTGTATATGTGCATGTACGTGTGTGTGTGTGTGTATAGTCCATGTAAATATGTTTATTTAAACCATTTGATTCCCTTTTTCCTCTCACAACTTGGTGTGAGGTATTTTTTTGTTCTTTTACTAAATTGTAAATTACCTGAAACTCGGAATAGTACATCATATTCCTCGCAGTATTAGTACTTTGATAGATTATCATTTATGTGATGAAGGACAGAACTTGACCTGTCTCATTTTAAAAGTTCTCAGTACATAGTTGGTGCTAGAATGTTTGTTGAATAAATTATTACCTAGTAGAAATCTATAACAAGATGTTCAAAGAGAGCATCTTATATAAGAGCAGCTTATATAAATTTAACAGATCTGGCTCCCTGATACTCATTTGCTTTTTCAGAAGATTTTATTTATATACTTTTAGAGATAGGGGAGGGGGGGAGGGAGAGAACCATCAGTGTGTGGTTGCCTCTTGCGTACCTCCCAGCATGCCGGCACTCAATCTATTGAGCCACACCAGCCAGGGCTTGGGGCTCACTTTTTTAAAGCTCTGATTAGTTCCTTGTTTTCTTTTGTTTAGTCCATTAAAATAATCCTTTACAGGTATCCTGTGTTTACTGTTGAAAATTTAGAAAGTAAAAATAAAGATAAGAAAAAAAGTTATGCATAAAATCCCACCACCCCAAAACAATATTTTGGTATATGTACTTTCAGATTTTGTTTTATGCAAACATACACTTTATTTTTTCTTAGAAAAAGATGGGTTTCATGTTTTTGGAACATGTATGCATTCAATAATATATTGCTTTTTTTCCTTCTAAAAATTGAGATCATGGGTCCTGTTTCTCTGTTAAGAGGTCCTGAAGAGTTGTCTTTACTTGCTGTTTCCCATTCCCTTCCTCTTGTTTTCTCATAAAATCCCTCTAATCAGACTGTCACTCCCACTCCTGTCAAAATTTTTGACTGCTAAATACAATAGTCAATTCTCAGCTCAAATCTTACTTGACCTATCAGAAGTGTTTGAGACTATTATTCACTTTCTCATTTTTGGGCTTCTGCTTTTCTCCTATCTCACTGCTGGGTCTTCTCAGTGTCCTTTACTAATTCCTTTCCATTACTATTCCACTAAACATTATAGTCTCTGGGATTCAGTCTTTGGACTTATTATCTATGCTCACTCCTACAATGAGATACCATCTCACACCTATCAGAATAGCTATCATCAATAAAACAACAAACAAGTGCTGGCAAGCATGTGGAGAAAGAGGAACCCTTTTGCACTGTTGGTGGGAATGCAGGTTGGTGCAACCGCTATGGAAAGCAGGATGGAGATACCTCAAAAAGTTAAATATGGATTTTCTTTTGACCCAGCAGTTCCACTTCTGGGAATATATCTGAAGGAACCCAAAACACTAATTTGAAAGAACATAAGCACCCTGTGATCATTGCAGCATTATTTACAATTGCCAAGATATGGAAGCAGCCCAAGTGTCCATTAGTAGATGAGTGGATAAAACAACTATGGAATGTTAAAACAATGAAATACTACCTAGCTGAAAAAAGAAAAAAAATTTACCCTTTGGGACAGTATGGATGGACTTGAAGAATGTTATGCTAAGTGAAATAAGCCAGCCAGATACCACATGATTTCACTCCTGTGGAATCTAATGAACAAACTGAATTAACAAGAAAGATGAGAACAGGCTCTTTGATGGAAAGCAGGATGGAAAGGGGTGAAAGGAATGAGCAAAAAGGAGAAATGGCTCATGGACATGGACAACAATGTGGGGATTGCTGGTGTGAGGAGGGTATAAGGGGACTAAATGATAATGGAAAAGAAATACAATAAAAAAAGAAAAAAATAGGTGATCTTATTCAATCTCATGGCTTTAAATGCTGTCTGTACACTCATGATTCTCACCTGTTATCTCCAGGTCAGACTTCTCCACTTAGGTATTTAATAGGCACTTCAAACTTAATCTAACCAAAACCAATATCCTGATATCTATTACCCACAACAAACAAACAACTACTCCTACTCTAAGTCTTTAAGTGGCAGTTCAAGCCAGAGATCTTAAAGTCATTTACAGTTTAAGTTCTTTGGAAGGCAGACCGAGACAAAGATTAGCAAGCTGTTTATTAGAGAGTGTTCCTAGGATCAACAGCTCTAGAGGGGAAGAGAAAGACAAAGGATAGGGGGATGGTTTAGGCTGCGGTACAGTCTTAACAAAGGCCTCAGCCTATGCCATGAGGAGCTTGGAAGCTCAGATGGCTCATTGTAGTTGGCCCAAGTTATGGCAAGGAGCCATGAGACTAAATGACATCACATGGGAAGTGAATATATAGGAAGTCCAAGGACAGAGCTGTAGATAACTACTCTGAAATAAACTGCCGTGTCAACCCCGTTGTAAAAGATTGCTCTGGGAACAGGCCATGAGCTTGACTTTCTTCAGCCAAGCTAATTCCTAAAGAGTTTGTTAGCTGAGTGCTCTCTGTCAGCATCAGCCCATGTCTAAGGAGTAAGTCCTTCACTTCTGAAGAAGATTCTGCCTCTCCTTTTCTCATATCCCACACTTAGTGCACCTAACAAATAGGTTGGTTCTATTTCCAAAATACATCCAGAATCTGACCACTTTTCACTTCCTCCTTTACTACCACGTTTGTACATACCACCATCATCTCTTGCCTAGATTTTTGTTACACCTTCTTAACTGGTCTTCTGCTTTCACTGTTGCGACTTTCTTTCTGTTCTCTACACAGTAACCCTTTCAAAACAAAGATTATGTTACTCCAGGGCTCTGGCTTCCGAGAATAAAATTCTAAATTATTTCCGTTGTTTACAAGGCTCCACAATCTGGGTCTAATTACCTCTCTACTATTATTCTCCTTGCTCATGCTTCCCCAGCCACATTGACCTTTCAGTCCAGTTTTCTGGTCTGTTGGGTTTCTTGCCTACTATCTTGACATCTTTCCCACTTTGTCAATTCCTCCTCTTATTTCTCTGTCAGACAGTGTAGTAGGTTAAAACAATATCAGTCATATATTAAATGACTTGGTCAAGGTAATCCAATTAAAAAATTACTGCAGGACTTAGAAAAAGTTCAAGCCTTTTATTCTGTTGATCTCTTATTCTTTTAGTTATATGTCAGTGTAGAAATACTGCATTTGAAAGTAAAAAAAAATGATAATGTTTTTTAAGTGTTCATCTTGGTATTAGTAAAGGATCATCTTTTAGTGCGTCCCCACCCCGTCCCCGACTTTCAAGATGACTTCTAGTAAAATGCATTACTCTTACTGCTACTATGTGATGAGATTGAGGTCATGCCACCTCATACATGGAACTAATTGTTTCTTGTTCTTTTTTCCTGTACAGAGCCTCTCATCCTACTATAAAGGAGGATTTGAACAGAAAATGAGTAGGCGAGAAGCTAGTCTTATTTTGGGTGTAAGGTAGGTGTGCTGCATAAATATTATTTTCTTCTGTAGCCACGTTTGTATTGAAAATGGAGAAAATGTTACAATAATGTTGTCCTTATATTTTAAATTATAAATAAGAGGCAGAGAAGAAAATACCAAGTTTTTACATTTTAAAACCTGATATCTTAGAGAATATCTCACACCTCCTAAAAAAATAAGGCAAAGTTGTGTCTATTCCTTAACAAGGAGCTATTATATTTCAATGCTAAAGTTTCAAAGCAAGAATAATATTCCTTATTGTGACACTGAATTCTTTCTGGATTCAGTTTTATAATTTGATATGTATTATATTTTTTATTATAATATGGACTCCGTCTCACAGTTCTTTTCTAGTTCCATAATTTGACATCTAGCGTATTTTATTATACTTCTTTCACCTTAGTATGCATTTATTGTTTTACGTTAGACAGTATAGGAGAAAGTTAATGATATTGTATGATTACTGTGTAATATCATTTAACACTTAAAGTTAATACTTTCTCTACCATAGATTTACCAATAGCTGCATTCAGATTTTTATCTGATGTTCCTTTAGAGCTCATGTAATTTATATAGGAGTTCGTTATATGTCATCTACAACAAATCCCCTGGTGATATTATCAACATAATTAAGTAAATCATGAAGTTCTACATTGGCATAATATTTTTAAGACTTTATTTATTTTTAGAGGGAGGGAGAGAGGGAAAGAAACATTGATGTTTGAGAGAAATATTGACTGGCTGCCTCTTGCATGCCCCCAACCCGGGACCTGGCCCACACTGCAGACATGTGCCCTGACCAACCTTTCAGCTTGTGGGATGATGCCCATCCTACTGAGCCACACCAATTGAGGCAATGTATTGGCATAAATTTTAAAATCTCTATAGACTAGCAGATTTTTAAGTCCAAAACATTATATTATTTCTTATAACTTAGCAAAAAAAAAAAAAAGGGATAGGCAGGGGAGAAAATAGCTCATTTTAGCTTGTGCTTTATTTAAATATAAGAAGAGGTGAACTCTCTCTTTCTCTGAAAAAGGAAAAGAAAAATTATTTTAAGTAGGGGAACCAAATTAGCAAGTCGGTTACATTGCTAAGTATTTATTGCTTTGACATTATTCAGAATAGCCTTGTTATTTTTTTTTAACTTTTATTGGGCGCCCCCACAACATCCCATTCATAGTCTTGAAATGTGAATATGAAACACATTATAAACTAAGGGGGTACCCCATTCCTTAGAGTCCTCCCAGTTGCCAAGGACAAGGAAATCAGTTGTTCCAGACACTCAGTCTGCCAGAAAAATAGAGTGGTGATTCCCTTTATAGGAGAATGCCCTAAGCCCTTCTCTTGAAGTGGCTTTTATTGAGAATGATATGCTGATATGCTCAGGGGTATACAGCATGCATGCAGACCTTACCAATCAATGCCTAAAGGCTATGTTTACAGAAAACAGAGACCATAGATAACAACTGAAGGAACACAGAAATTTGCCTCAGGTCAGGGTCTGGTAGACAGGGTGGTGCCCATTGGGCCCTGAAACCTGGGAAACTGATCTTATCCTATGCTGAACCCCAAACATCAGTACTCATTAACTTGAGGGCATTGTTAGCACAGTAAGTTTCATAGGATTTAATGCATTCCTTTCCCAGGCCTAATTGCCCCTGGACACCACCCGATCCAGTTTAGGGATGTACCTGCCTTTAGTATTGTTTCACTGACCCTGTCAGGTGGGTAGAGCAGAGCAGCCAAAAGATAAGGAGACTTCTTTCAGATAGAGTGAGGACTTCAGCCATGACAGAGCCATTGGGTGAGGGTCTTTTGCCCCCTCTCCATCTTCCCCAAGTCCTTCCCTGCTAGCCCCCATGCAATTGTGCCTGTTTTAGGTTGCCCCTGCAGTCGAGGGGTCCTACCCGTCATTGACTAACTAGCTGTCCTCCTGGGCCAAGAAGGGTGATGTGAGTGAGACACGGGCTTTACCCCTGCCAGGAGGACAGGTTTTGTCTCCTCAAAACCTGGCCTATTTTCCCAAGGCCTCCTTGCTCAGCTCCAGCCATGGGACCCTGTCGCCTGTTGGCATGGACTCATGAAACGAGGCGGGACGGTTCCCAACAATAAACCAAACACAAAGGTTTTTGAGAATATCATTTCATATCAGCCACGGCACTCATATAGTTAGCACAGGTAATTAGAAGTTGACTTAAGGTACATTGGGTGCGTGGTTATAAAGTTAAGAGCACAGACTCTGATAACAAGTAAATCTTGGTACCAATACCAATTTTACCACACACTACCTACATGGCCTCAGTTTTATTATTTGTAAAATAGAAGTAATACTAATTTCTATTGTATATGGTATTCTTAACATAACCCTGGCAGGGTAGCTCATTTGGTTAGAGCATCATCCTGACAGGCCAAGATTACAAATTCCATCCTGGGTCAGGGCACATACAAAAATCAACCAATGAAAGCATAAATAAGTAGAACAACAAATCAATCTTTCTCTCTGTCTGTCTCTCTCTCTTTCTCTTTCTCTCTCTGTCTCTCTTCCCCTTTCTCTCTCTCTCTGTCTCTCTTCCCCTTCCTCTTTCTCTCTCTCCCCCTTCCTCTCTCTAAAATCAGTAAATAAAATGAAAAAAAAAATTCCTGACATACACATGGCACTTACTAACTACTGGATAAACGCCAACTAAGCAAAAACAGATTCTTATCCTGATTCTATCCCTGAGGGATTGCATTGTATGATCTTGGTCAAATTACTTTTAGCGTTTCTGTACTTTAGTCTCTTCGTTTTTGAATTGGAATTAATAATACCTAGCCTTGTTGCAATAGTATAAATTGATAGGCTGATACCTTTTTATAAAAGTGCCTGTGAAATAACAGGTGCTGAATAAATGTCGGCTTCTCTTCCCATCTCCATCATGAATGCAGAAGCTAAATATTCACTCTTAACCTGTTAGTTAGAAGGGTAAAACTAATTTGCTTTCCTCTAGCCATTTCTTTCATTAGGTAATGTTTGTTTTGAGGAGATTCTTCAAGATGTGAATACATTGTGTTGTTCCATTTTCTGTGGTCAATGAATCTAAACTGCTTACCCTATAGAAAAAGTAGGTAAAGGAAAAATGGAGCAGACTGTTAATTTATTTTAAAAATACTCTATGTGCTACTAGATGATACAGTACATTTTACAAAGCCTAAAATATTTTACTGTCCTGGAAAATTGTTATTATACCTGATATTTTCTGAAATGATGCACATTTATGACTTTCAGACTTTCTGAAAGTATCTTTGGAACTCTGTTTAAATGTTATTCAAAAGACCAATAGTAAAAAAGATGAATCCAGATCCTGTTCTTTTGCTGGGTTGGGGAATACCACTCACTTCCACACACCCACTGCCTCACTCCCAGCAAAATGTGTTCTAGGGAGCACAACTTGAAATGGCTAATCTAGGCAACATATTATTTAAAGTTACATTTTCAGTTTCATGGTGAAATTATCTACAGGGAAGTAAATTAGAACGACAGTTAATTTTTGTACTATATTTAAGAACTAGAATTCTCCCATCTTGTGTAATCTTTACAACAACAGATAAATGTATTAAAATATATTAAAGTCTGAGAGACTTAAAGAAAAGGGGATAAACTTGGCAGGCAAAGGATAATACTCTCTTCATCCCCAGAGCTCATCACTAGGAGTCTGATAATTATTTTCTTAAAGGTAGAATATTTAGAGTGGCCACACTTGTGCAAAAGAACTTTCCACTGACTTCAGTCTAGTTCAGTGGTAGGCAGGCCTCAGAGTATGTAATATTTAGGGGAGTTTTATATACAAAACAATGTGCATTGTTATTTATAGGCAATGCAAATGATTTTCAAGGGTAATTTTGACTAAAGTGCTAAATTTTGTTTTACGTGCTAAATTAAAGCTTAATATCCAGAATAAGATGCAACTTAACATATATATTCCCTCCTAAAACACATGAAATGGAAATTTGGATGAGCAACCCACATTTCATTAGCTTTATAAAATAAGATTTTTAAAGCTCTCCTTTATTTTAAGATTTTCTACAAAACAATAATCTTTTAAATTGTTAGTATTTATTTATACAGAGCTATTATTCTTTCAAGGAGTTTAACTTTTTATAGCCATTTATTTACATTTGGAGGGTAGTATAAATTGCATTAAATACCTATTGCATATTTAATACTAGGTAGTATTTTAAGATCCAGATCCCAACTTCTCTCCTTAAGTAGTTCAGTTTCACCTACGGAGACATGTCAAGTATATATACACAAAACTAGAATACATAACTAATAAATGAAATAAGTGTTATAAAGCACCAAAAAAGGGGAGGGGAATGATAAATGTAAGTGAACTACAGGACATTAAATCATACAGGAATTTTTCTTAGTAACATCTTTTTTATTCTGAATAGGCAATTAAACAATAAAATGTTCATAGCCCTGGTGGCATGGTAATGACTTTTTTTCCTCAAAATTTGGTAATCTTTGTAATCAAACAATGTCTGTTCTGGGGAGGAATCTACAAACCAAAAAGTAAGTTAGAAGTGGTCCCTAAAAGACTTCTACAAACAGCCAAAAGGAATACTCTTAAGTATTTATACTAAAATGCTTATTACATATTTATTTTTATTTAAAAAAATTTGAATATCTCCCAAGATTTACTGAGATATAATTGGCATGTAACATTTTATATTAGTTCAAGGTATATGACATAATGATTTGATATATGTATATATTGTAAAATGATTACCACAGTATGTTCAGTCAACATCCTTCACCTAACACAGTTACAGATTTTTTACTTGTGATGAGAACTTTTAAGATTTTCTCTCTTAGGAACTTTGAAATATACCACCCAGTATTGTTAACTATAGTAACCATACTGTTCATTCTATCCCCAGGACTTACTTATCTTACAACTGGAAGTTGTACCTTTGGACCACCCTCATCTGTTTTGCCCCCACTCCCCGAC